CAGGTTATCTGATACACTAACCCTAAAAAGGGTCATGAACCATTACTCTATATAGTCACCAGCTTGACTTCTCCGTGTCATGTGAGTTATTATTCCTGGCACTGGAGGTTTCATTTGGTGGTGAGAGATGTCTAGTTGGGACTTTATATCCCACGTTATTTGCTGATTCTAGCTTAGATTTCTTTCATTTACATATATTTCATTATAAACATATATATATATATATTTTTTTAAAGTTTCTACTGAATTAGGTTTCCATACAACCTCTCAAATTACCCTTACTTTTAGCTGTTCCTGTCCATATCCCCTCTCCTCTTTTTCCTTCCCTTTCCCACCATGAACTTCTTGGTTTAGTCCTCCATCCCAATAGCTAGTCTATTTCCTAGGGAGGTCCTTTTCTGTCCCTTGGTCCTTTATATCTAATCCCTGTAGTTATACAGATTGTAGCTTGTTTATTAAAGACTTAATAGCTGACATCTACATGTAAGTGAATTCATACCATATTTGTCTTTTGGGGCATGGGTTACCTCACTCAGGATGATTTTTTTTTTCTAGCTCCTTCCATTTACCTGTGAATTTCATATTTTTTTTAAAGATCTGAGTAGTATATTGTGTAAATGTATCAAATTTTCATTATCAATTCATCCGTTGACAGGCATATAGAGTGCTTCCAGTTTCTGGCTATTATGAATAGAGCAGCAATGAACATAGTTGAGCAAGTATGTCTGTGGTAGAATATAGAGTCCTTTGACAACCCAAGAGTGCTGTCATAGTTAGGGTTTTATTGCTGTGATGAGATACTGTCCTAGTTTTGGTTTTATTACTATGAAGAGACACCATGACCAGGGCAACTCTTATAAAGGACAATATTTAATTAGGGCTGGCTTAACAGTTCAGCAGATTAGTCTATTGTCATGATGAGAAACATAGCAGCATGTAGGTAGTCGAGGTGCTGGAATAGGAGGTGAGATTTCTATATCTTCATCAGGCAGATAGCAGGAAGAGACTGCCACACTAGGCCTAGGAGACCTGAGTCTGGCCCCACAGTGACACACACACTTCCTCCAAGAAGGCCACACTTCCTGATAGTGCCACTCCCATTTCAGACACATGAGTCTATGGGGCCCATCCCTATTCAAACTGTCACAGACATCATGTCAAGGCAATTCTTATAAAAGAAGGCATTTAACAGGGAGATTGCTTACAGTTTCAGAGGTTGTCTATTATGGTAGGAAGCACATTGGTAGGCATGCAGGCATGGTGTTGGAGAAGTAGCTGAGGGCTGCATTCTTTTCCACAGGCAACAGAGAGGAGGGGTGTGGGGAGACAGAGAGACAGAGACATACAGTTATATATTCGGCTTACTTTGGGCTTTTGAAACCTCAGAGCCCACTCCTAGTGACACATTTCCTCCAACAAGGCCACGCTTACTCCAGCATGGCCATACTTCTAATCCTTCTGTGATAGCTCATAAACCCGAGACTAAACACGGAAATACATAAGCTTATAGGGCTTATAGGCCAATCTCATTCAGTCTACTGCAAGTTACCACTTGTGGTGGTAATGCTTGAGATAGATCTATTCCCAGCTTCCTAAGTTATCACCACACTGTTTTCCATAGTGATTGGACAAGTGTGCAGCTCCATTTTCAATGGTAGAATGGAATCCCCTTCCCACATTCTTGCCAGCATGACCTGTCACTTGTTTTGTTGATCTTGGCCATTCTGGCTGGTGTAAAATGAAATCCCAACTAGTTTTGATTTGCATTTCCCTGAAAGACTTAAGAACATTGACAATCTCGTCCTGCTTCTCCACTATTTCCATTTCCTCTTTGGAGAGTCCTCTGCCGTACAGCAGCTTTCAGTTTCAGAAGGTCCTCTTTAATTGTTCTTAGCACCCTGCTCTGTGCAGTGTTCTGTGCAGAAAGTTTTTTCTTGTGCCAATGAGTTTAGATTATCCCCACTTTCTCTTCTACCATATTCAGTCTGTCTGGCCTTACGTTGAGGTCCTTGATCCGTTTGGAGTTGAGTTCTGTTAGGATGATAAGTACTACGGATCTATTTGCATTCTTCTGTATGCAGCAGTCCAGTTAATCAGCAAAGTTTCTTGAAGATGCTGTCTTTTTTCCAGTGTGCATTTCTGGCTTTTTAAAAAGATTAATAAATCAGATGTCCTAGGTGTAAGGATTAATGTCTAGGTCTTCAGTTTGCTCCCATTGGTCAGCTGTCTGTTTTTATGCCATTACTATGCTGTTTATCTTATAACCCTGTAATAACAGTTTGAAATCGAGAATGGTGATACTTCCCGCACTTGCTTTATTATTTAGTATCTAAAGTATGGCTATCTTTATGTTCTTTGTGTCTTCATAAGAAGCTGAAAATTGTCTTTTCAATTTCTGTGAAGAGTTGTGTTAGAATTTTGATGGGAATTTCATTGAATCTGTAAATTGTCTTTGGTAGGATTTTGCTCCAATCTTTAAGCTATTTAATTTGAAAAGTGTTAAAGTTAATTATCTTTTATAATACACATTATATATTTTAGATATTGAATTTTTACACTAAACAGATAGTTAAATATCTGAGTTAGAGTTAGCAACCAGAACTGTCATTGTTAACCAGGCTCAGTTAGGTGGTGGCCCACGTTACTATTAATTTTTTAATCTGTTTATCATTACTTATTTTATATGTATGGGAGTTTTCCCTTCATGTAAGCCTGTCCACTGCTTATGAGCCTGTTGGCTACAGAGAACAGTAGAAGGCGTTGGATCCCCTGGAACTGAATTTACAGATTGTTTGCTTTCATGTGCATGTTGGGAATCAAACCCAGATCCTCGGGATGAACCCAGTTCCCTTAACCTCTGAGCTATCTCTACAGACCCAAATCCTGCTATTTTTATAGAGCATTTAGTACAGATTGAGTATTCTTTATCCAAATGCTAGAACCAGTATTGCCTTGTATTGTAACATTTTTATTTTAAGGTTTTGAGTGTATGCGTATACATAATGGGATATTTTGGAAAGAGGACTAAAGTCTAAATGTAAACTTCATCTAAGTATTGTAGATACTTTTTATCATGATCTGGAGATGGTGTTGTGTATCTCAAACAAGCTGGTTTATGATCAGCACTGCATGGCATGAAGCTTTTCACTGTGGCACCGTACTGCTGCTGGCATTGTGACGTTTTTAAGTTTTTGAATGTGCGCATATACATAATGGGATATTTTGGGAAGAGGACTAAAGTCTAAATGTAAACTTCATCCGAGTGTTGTAGATACTTTCTACCACCGCCTTTCTCTTTACTCTGACAAGTATTTGACAAGAGACAATATAGGAGCAAATCGATTTTGTTTAACTTAGAATTTGAGGGATGCATCCTATCCTTGTGTGGAAGACCTGATGGCTAGACAGTAGGGCAGCGTAGTGTCAGCAGTTAGGGAGTTGTGGATAGCCCCAACCTTGTATTTTGATGCTAATTCCACTTTCCTGGAAGGGCTGCAGAGGAGTTGTGAGTCATTACACGGTTGACTTCTATTGAACCTCCCACCTTAATTTGTAAAATAAGGGCTGGAGCCAGTGATTGGGCAGTAGAAGGGGAGGTGGAGAAATAAAGGTTTGGGGAAGAAACAGAGAGGACGGAGGAGCAGGAGGTGGAAGGACAAATGCATGACTTGGAAAACCCGCGTGTTATAAGGGTCTCATAGCTGGGGAGTAGAGCAGTGTAGTGGTGAATCTGCCCAGTCTAGGCGTGCAGCTTATATTCATAATTATTAAGTCGTGTTTTCTTTGACCGGTCTTATTTGGGTTGGAGACTTACCGCAACAAGGGAGTGTGGGATGCTCTGCCAGCCCTGGAGCTGTCTTTTGTGCTTTGTGGGCTGCTTGCTTTCACCATTCTCCACCATTGTTTACCCCTTCAACCTCCTAACACTGGATAGGAGAGAGGAAAAGGCAGATGGGGAAGGGAAGAGCTCTCTCAATAAGGTTGGGGGTTGGAAAGGGCCGATGTTATCCTTAGACTACTTCCTACTGGTTAGGGGGGTCGAGTTCCTTGGGGACAAGATTTATCTTTGCCATCAGGGTGTCTAATTTCTTCTTGTTATTTCTTCTTTGTGAACAACTACTTAACAAACAGCGACCAACAACCAAATGGCAACCCATCACACTTCTCAGAGCCCTAGCATTTATATAGTCTTTAAAAGTCACCAGAATTCCAAACGTCACACAATCACAGAAACTATCTGCAGCTGGTAAAATCACCCCTCTGCATGAGACAAATCATAGTGAGCTGTGTGGGCAGTTGGAAGCAGCCCCACATCCTATACTTGGGATTAAATCAAAACATACTCTTATAATATTTTTGTGTTTTTTTTTTTAAAAAGAAACCAAACTCTAAAATTGTTGCTATATTTCTCCCTTTCTGTTTTAACTTACTGATTTTCTGTGTATAATAAGTAAAGGTTCATATAATCACATTTGCTCTTAAAATCCTCATTTCCTTCACATGTGTTCCTAAACGCAGCATCATATATAGATTTTTTTCTCATTGTTTCACATCATTTTTTGAAATTTATCATCACCTAAGGTTGTCAGTTAATGATTGAGTTAGGATTTTTTCGTCAAGTGTCTGCTGTGTTGTCCAGACTGGCATTGAGCATGCTGCAGTCTGGTTGCTCAGCCTCCCAGGTGCCAGGCTTACAAGCCTGACTGTCACACCTGACCTACTATTCAGTTCTTAAGTGTTTAGCTTTTCCCTTTTATTGCGTCCTTGCTAATGTGTGGAATGGCCATGGGGTTGAACTTCTGTCACATCAGGAAGTAACCAACTACTACCATGCGCCTAGACTTTTCTGGAAGTTGCCCTGTTTTAAAACATTTTTGTATATGTTGGAATATCCTTCAAAATTATACTGTTGTTTATACTAAAGGGATCTTTCACATTGTTTTTATTACTAAGATATTTAAAAATATACCTTAGAAAACCAATTTCTTCTTAATTAACAGGTACTTCTAAAGAAGGAGGGGCCGGAGCAGTTGATGAAGATGATTTTATAAAAGCTTTTACAGATGTTCCTTCTATTCAGGTAAGGTTTCCAGGGAAGTGGCATCCCTATGATATTGTCTCCCCCCGCCCCCCTTTTGTTTGGGGGTATCTTTAAAAATTTTTAATTGTCAGTACAACTAGCTGGCTCGGGTCAAGCACTTAATAGTGCAAGTCAGACAAGCTGAGTTTGACCCTGAATCCCACGTAATGGTAAAGAGAGGAGACCGGTGCCACAGTTGTCTCCCCTACAGACATCATCATACACAGTGAGAAGAGGGGAGGTGCAGGAGGTCTAGTAGACTCTTTATATCTAGCTTAAACTTTAAGAAGACAGCTATTTCATTCTCAGTCATTGTAGGAACAGTGATTGTTTTCTGTTATCTATAGAATTCTTTTTCTGAACGAACTTTCCAGCTTTTTCAGGACTTTGCTCCTAAGTCAGTCTTGGCATACCTGCAGTGTCTTACATTGTTGAGTGCTGCAGACAACACACAATGTGTACTAAAGTTGGAGGGCATGGTGTTCTTCACAAAACATGGATTAGGGGTTTTGATAGGAGGAACCTGTACTAAAAAACAACTTTTGTGTAACTATCAATAAGTTGCTTTTGTGAGATGTTCAGTCCACAGAGGCTAGATCTCCCTGCTGCCCGCAAGGCCTTAACTCATCCTTGAGTGGCCCTTTCTTCTGTCGTCCCACATGGCCAAGAACACCAGCATTTAGCTGGATGGTAGTAGTAGTGCACACTTTGAATCCAAGGTCTCCTGAGGCAGACACAGGAGGATCTCTGAGTTCAAGGCCAGCATGGTCTATAGAATAAATTCTAGGACCATCAGGGCTACACAGAGAGACTTTGTCTCCAAAAAAAAAAAAAAAAAATAGAGGAAATTTTAAATGTTTAAGTTTCCCCTTAAATGAATGTATGAATGATATATTAGATATTATCAAGACATTAATTATTGTCATAATTTGATTTTCAAATTAGTTTTTCAGTAACACTTAAATAAAATTGAAATCACATTGCAGTGTCAGATGTAAAGCTCATAGTTTTGACCCCCAAGGAATGTTGGAGGCTGACAAATAGAGGGATGAAAGGAATCAAAATGAACATGCTGTCAGTCATTTCGTGTTCAGTGAACAAGTAAACACTGCATACAGTGTTTTTAGTAGTTGTACAAATGGCATGGCCTTGGGCTCAGTGCTGCCTACTATATTTTTCTACAATGCTAAGTTTGTGATAGTTTAAGTGTCCTTATTGCTTCTTATTGCTTTATGTTCAGTTTGTTCCCAACTTTTGGCTAATCTATATTATGCTCCAGTGAGGGATTTTGTTCATAAGATTTATTTATTTATTTATTGCTTTGGGTTTTGTTGTTGTTTTTGTATTTTGAGAGAGTTTTTCTGTGTAGCCCTGACTGTCTCAGAACTAGCTATGTAGACTAGATTGCCCTCAAATTACAGAGATGTACCAGCTTCTATCTCCGCATTAAAGGTTTTAACCTTCTGCTGTGACTAAAGGCATGCTGTTTATAAGATTTTAAAATTATTTATTTGTTTTGTCTGCTTGTTTTTAAAATATCATGTAGTTCAGTATGGTATTGAATTCCTGATCCTTCTGCTTCCAACTCCCAAACATACTGGAATTGCAGGCACCAACATACCAGGCTTTTATGGGAGCTTCTCTAGGGTGTCGTGTGTATGGAATTGTATAGCTATGGTTCATTTATTTCACTAAGTTCTGCTGTATAGGGTGATTATACCACTTCTAAGAAAGGTATGATTAGGTAACTCATTTTCAAGAACTTTTGGCTGTGGGAAAATGCTTCTTTTCTATATGAAAATGCTTTATCTGTCTTACCAAAAAAACAAGAGGACAGGCAGACAGAGAGAGAGAGAGAGAGAGAGAGAGAGAGAGAGAGAGAGAGAGAGAGAGAGAGAG